AAAAAGTACTTCATCAAAAATTCAAATATTGAAACCAAATCTAATTGAACTAAAATAAAAATAAGCACTATTAAAGAAAAATAATTTTAGAGTAAAGCTTTTCCATAAAACTCTTCGTGGCATGGGGTGATTCTACATAAGAACGAGCTACTGCGCTAAAAAGAGATTGAAACCCAATTTCAAATCAAAGTGACACTACCGGGGCATGCCCCGAGTGATACACTAGTGTATTTGAATGTTGACTTTGTTGGTAAAATGTGTTAAAATTACATTAAATGGTCATTTTGAGGGTGCTATTCGAAAAGTGCATCAAATAAGGTCTATTCGAAAGTGCATCAGATAGGGGTTATTGTGCATCAGATCGACACTTTGGACGTCTTAGATTAATTCTCATTTTACACGTTAAGACTTTTTTTATTTGATCCAGACTATATATATATATATATATATATATATATATATATATATATATATATATATAGATTTTGATTCAAATGAGAACGAGTCTTATCGTGAGTACGTGAGAACACATCCCAGCCATTCAAAATACATGCGGATCTACGATCAACTAAAGTGAAATCAAGGGTATTTTGGTATTATATCAATTGGTTGTTTTTGTAACCGATCATGTCAATTAATATATGCATATGGTCCACTAATGGAAATTTATTATACTTACGTGGATTGACTTCATATATAGAAATTTATACATGTAGTAAAGGAAATTTCGTTAGTGAGATAAAAAAGAAAAAAAATGGTTCCGTTTATTTAATTTTTAGAATGAATGGTATTATGCAATCATCTCTCTCCTTAAATATTATTCACAAATCATAGTAGTTATATATTCTTCAATCCATATTTTTCTTTATGTTATAAACAAAATGTGAGTTAGATACCGGTTCATGTGCATTGCTTAAATAGAGTTGTGTGTTGGATACCCTTTCATGTGTGTTATATATTGTTTAAATTAAATGAAGTATTTATGTAACACTTGAGATTTAATATAAACGGATTAATAATACTACTCATACCAACAGAGGTGCATCTCCTTTTAAGGGAGCTCATTACCCAAGAACTCCAAAGTTAAGCGTGCTTGCACGGGAGTAGTCTTGGGATGGGTGAGGACAAAGTGCGCGGTAAAGGCTCGTGGTGGTTTGTGGGGACAGTACTATTGGTCCGGAGTAACTACCCCGGGTCCCACGAGGCCGGGGTGTTACAGGTGGTATCAGAGCAACCCTGCGACAGTGTGTTGACCCGTTGGATATCGGGCGGGCACTTAGCGGGGGAAGATTCTGGGATTTGATTGAGATTTGAGATTGGTTTATGGGCGCAACGAGGACGTTGCGTTCCTAAGTGGGGGTGACTGTAACACTTGAGATTTAATATAAACGGATTAATAGTACTACTCATACCAACAGAGGTGCATCTCCTTTTAAGGGAGCTCATTACCCAAGAACTCTAAAGTTAAGCGTGCTTGCACGGGAGTAGTCTTGGGATGGGTGACCCCCTGGGAAGTTTCTCAGGGCGCGCATGAGTGAGGACAAAGTGCGCGGTAAGGCTCGTGGTGGTTTGTGGGGACAGTACTATTGGTCCGGAGTAACTACCCCGGGTCCCACGAGGCCGGGGTGTTACAATTTATGTGTTAGATATTACAGAGTAGTTTTTAATTGTTGTGTGTTAGATACTGATTTTTGTGATTGAGATACTTGTTCTGGTGCTTTATATACAAACATGTGTGAGATGCTACTTTTCATGTGCATATAACTGCTTAAACTTTAGATTATACTAAATACGTATGTATTCGATCAATATTAGTTCTTTCTTAATTATTGTGTGTTAGATAATGTTATTTGTGATTCAGGTACTTGCACGGGTGCTTTATATACAAGCTATTTGTGAGATACTCATTTTTCGTGTGCATTAGCTTTTGGTTGTTGTGCGTTAGATACATATTCTTGTGTGTGTGATAGATGGGAATACTTGTTGTAGTTTATTGTATACATATAATATTTATTTTTAAAAACAAAAAATTATATATGGAATATTGGTGTCATATGAAAGATAAAAAAAATTATTTAATTTGCTATAAATTTTTTTATAAAAATCGATTATAATTTAAAAGGTTAAATCAATTTTAAACTAAAAACATTTTATATGATTTGAAATTATACTTTTACCTAGTTTTTTGGAAAGTTGCAGCCTAACATCATTACAGTATTAAATGCATTTGTAGAAGTACTCTAATGCCCTTTGTTCATTACACGCTTACTTTTCCATTTGTACGAGAAGTATTAATATGTGAGCATGTCCATCGTTATATTGTGAGACGATTGCTTAATGGCCCATTCATTTAATGAGATGATGGGTTAGAATGTGTTCTCATTTCTCACAATAAGGGATGTTCTCATTAGAACCACTCCATATATATATATATATATATATATATATATATATATATATATATATATATATATATATATATATTTACAAAATGCAAAATCATCCTAGCCATCCATCTAAGCCTAATTTCCTTGAGCCTATTTTAAATTTACGATCACAAAATTAATTGACCTAAGGGTGTTTGGCCATTGCATATTTGTGTAAATATGGAAATAGAATCACGATCACTGCATCAGCTCTCTTTCTGTTTATACCTCTATTTCCATAACTGTGATCAACGCCACATCGTGCACTTGTTTCTTCTACTTCTCTCCATTCTCTAAGTCCTGGTTTGTTCTTTTCTACTTTTGAAAAAGAAGTCACGATCTTTTCCTTTAATCTCTTTTCATACCTTCTTGTTTATTGTTATTTTCTTTCTTCCTTCTTCGATTATGAAGCTTTATTTCATTTTCATCTCAGAATTATATTTCTTCCTTCATCATAGAAATGTGTTGGGTATAGCTTCTTCGCCCCTATTAACAGGGGAGAGCATGGATTTTGATGCTCAACCCTACTTTTGTGATTTCTCTTTTTAGTTCGTCTCCATCTCCATATCTGTCCCCATGATATCTTGCATGTTGGAAAATCTTTTTTTGTTCTTTATGTGATTAATCAAATGTTAACGATGTGAATTACGTCTAATCTCCATCACAATGAAATTTGGTGTGCACGCCGGAACAACACTTTTTTCCTTTCTGAGATTTATTGTAGTCAATGTTTTGATTTTTGTCTTCATTAAATCCATTCAATTCATTAAAATTGTGTTTATGGAAAAATATAAATGTTTAAGTGCTTAATCTTCTTGCTTTTTTTATTTTTTCCTTACGTTACACATGCATTATGCATTATGTAATCTCATGAATTTAGTATGCATGTGAGTTGAGTATATAATGCACTTGCCATAGCGATAAGATGCAGAATGAACTTCCAACAACTTTTGAAGAGAAGGGTGTTCCAGAAGTTATTGATCTCGTTGTCGGTTCGGCCAGGCAGCCTTCCGACAATGAGGGACCACCTATTTCCGAGGAGAGAATGCAGCCGGACAATCAGATCCTCCTCGTCTCCGGTGAAGTCCCCCCCACTTGATTCCGGGCCTCAGGTAGTTCATCCATCTTAGCCTGCAACTCTTCCCACATCTAAGCAACCCTGCTTTTTGGGCATTTTGTTACAAAAAAAAATCCTAAACTTGTTCATAAAAGTCACTAATTACATGGACTGTAATTTGCTGGTGTAATCTGGTCTGGTCTGAACTAGTCTGATATGGTCTGGTGTCTTCATATTTTTATCATTGTTCAAGTCTTGTCTAGTCTGGTCTGCTGTGGGACAAATTACCGTCCAAGTAAAAACATCCTTACTCCTGTAACCCAAGTAATTAGCCGCGCACCAAGTATGAAGTAACTATAGAGGTTGTTTGGTAGCAAGAAAATTGATTGATTTAGTTGATTCTGCTGAAATTTATGAAGTTCTAGTTGAAGTGGCTGCATTGACTGATTCTGCTGATTTAAGAGAAAAATATTTTTAAAATATATTTTATTAATAAAATAAAGAAAAAATAAATGTAAGAATAGCTAAAATGGTCATCTACTGAACTTCAGCCAATACTGCAACCACAAAAGTAACTACAACCTTACTTTTTCCGCTTATTACACAATTCAGCGCGCGAAAGTAAACACTACGTGTTTGGTGAAAAAATTGGCTGATAAGCCGAAAAACAGTGTTGACAAACGGTCTCATAATCTTTTAAGAGGTTTTTGCACTAGTACTACTAGTACTTTTCCATTTTTAGTCCGCCAACGCATGCAAACAAAGATTTTCTCTACACCACACTCACACAACCAAACCAATTTCATAACTTTAGCTTCCATTATAGCTTCTCTCTCGTTAGCTTTGTAACCATGCTGCTCGGGAAGTTTGATTGTTCATATTTGTTTCCTCCATCCAGTCATTTACTCAATTTAAAACAAATAGTCACTTTTATGTAATTATTCATATTAGTGTTACAATTTTTGTACAAAAAACGTGAAAGAAAATACGTAGTATATATTTCAAACCAGGTTTTCTAGGTATATATGCCGGTTTTTGTTTTTCAGTTTTTCATCATTTTCGATTCTTTCATTAGTTCGTTGGCGCTCAAATCGAAGGGTTTGATGGGCAGCGGCGTAGCCAGACTTTAGTATGGGGGGCAGAGTATAATATGTTTAAAGAACCGGACCGGGAGGTGACCTGGACAAATGATTGGGTCATGGGTAAATCCGAAACCGGAGGGTCATCCCGGTCAACACAATATTTGTATATACATGATTAAATTTGTAAAGTAAAAAATATTTTTCTTCCTCATTAATAAAATATTATTATCTAGTATACAATTTTTAAGTAAACCATGAATGCACTTGAAATTAGAGAAACAAAAAATAAACATAAAATTAATCAGATCATCTGTCTTAAAAATCTTGCACAAGTATGTTTTTCACTTGTATTTGCAGTACTATACTTATCAAGCAGTATATAATAACAATATTATGTATTACTCCCTCCGTCCCGCTATTAATTTCCTACTTTCCTTTTTGGACTGTCCCAAAATAATCTTCTCATTTCCCTAAATGGAAAGTTATCCTACATCAAAACAGTGTCAAACAGTGCAAAACAATGTCAAACAGTGTCTAAACAGTGTCAAACAGTGTCTAAACAGTAAAGTTAAATTTATTTCCTAAATATGTGTGTAAGTCAAAGTAGGAACTTAATAGAGAGACGGAGGGAGTATTAGTTTTCATATTATTATTTTTATTAATAATTTACCAACAAAGTAGGTTTAAGGTCATCCAAAAAAAACAAAGTAGGTTTAAGATGTAATATAATGATTATAATAAGTCAAGGATAAGTATTCTGAAGAAGCCATAGATTCCAACACGAGTGACAGATTTGGTAGTACTAGAGTCTTCCATAATTTAATGAAGGGGGATATTCGAAATAGTAATTTTTTTATTAAAAAATTGAAAAACTAGGAGGGGCAATGGCCCCTTACCCATTAACGTAGCTCCGCCCTGTTGATGGGTAAATTATATCGTACAACTGGCTGTACCTTGAGCATGGTACAACCAGGTATTTTTGTAATATGTTTGAAGTTCGAGCCTATTATTTACGTAACGTGCTCCTCTTTGTATTATTTACGTTCCAGCTTATTTTTTTTATTTTCTGTCTTACGTTAGTTTCTTTTTTCCTCCGTCAGCGCCCTACTCATGTTAACTGCTTAACTCTTTCTCTTTTCTCTTCGTTTCCTGTCTTTCTTCATTGCTTTGACTTTTTGTTTTGCTTCTTTCTTTTTATTTATTTTTCTTGTTGCTTTTGGTTTCTTTATTTTTTCTTTAATACGAAGTATCTTTTACTTTATTTGTTATTCAATTTATTATGATTATATAAAATATTATTTATTGTTTGAGTTTGTTTTTTGTTTTTCCAATCAACCTTCCAACTTAAATATTGTGTGTTAACTACTAACATGAGTTTAGTGTTAAACTAAAATGAGTATAACTTAAAATAAATATGCATACACAATTGTTAAAGGGGTTGCTAGGCACACCCCTAGAATTGCTAAACGCAACCTTAGCTGGACCATTTTGTCCCCCCTTTAGTTTTTTTAACTAAAGTTTCTATTTGGACCATATAAATTGTACGTAGTATAATTAGTCCCTTAAAGTTAAAAACAAAACCCGTTATGTGCCACTTAACAATTACGTTTGATGAGTCAAAATTGATTCAATTTAAGTTGAAGTGCAAATATCATTTTTTTTAAATGTGTCGAACAATTATGATTTTAAAATTGTTATACTACGTACAATTTACATTTACTCTCCGACTTTGATAAAAATATATTGAATTAAATAATTTTTCATAATCTTTTATATGACAGATATTTGCATTTATAAACTTTTGAAAAGATATTCTTTTTATAATCATTTATATTATACTCCCTCCCTCCGTTCTCTAATAGATGGGAGTATAAAGTTTGACACAATTTTTAAGGGGAAAATAATAGGGATAGTTTAAAAGGTGTACGTAGTGGGTTGTGTTTGAATGAAAAAGTAGGAAAGTGAATGAAAAAGTAGGAAAGTGAATGAGGGTGTATAAGAATATTTAATGGAAAAAAATTCTAAAAATGGAAAGGGGGACAAATAATAAAGAACATCTCAAAATAGAAAGTGAGACATACATAAACTATCTATTTTTTATCATATCTTACCTTTTTTAGTTGACCCCAAAAAACTTTAAGATTAGGGATGCTTTTATTTGAGCTGAAATTTGCCGCTCTGGTCTAGTCTAATCTGGTCTGGTCTGGTCTGAACTGGTCTGGTCGGGTAAATGTATGATCTCTGTGTATTTTATAACTATCAAAGTCTGGTTTGCTCTGATCTGGTCTGAACTGAAAACAGTCCAAGTAAAAACATCCTAAGACTTTGGAGATTGTTGTAGTTTTTATTAGATACTTATGTAATAGGTTTTTTCTTAAATATTACCACCCCCATCCAGCTAACATTGGGATTTGCGACATGAGAAAGTAACAATGATACTCAGAAAAATATTTAATTATGTAGTTGATATTGAGTTGATAATGTAACAATAAAGTAGTAATAAAATAAGAATGATTTAGAACCACACATACTTTATCAAATTTGATATGAGAGACTCTAAATGTCGTTAGCATATGCAATCATTGATGTAAAATATATGGACGTAATGTGGAATCAACATGATGTTGATCGAGTTTTAAAAGGTGGAGCCCTTCCCATTTGAAAAGTATTCATTACACTATACAAGTTTCTAAGCGGATCTAATCTGTTAGAGGCCGGTCTATTCTGTGTGTTTTACAACCGCCAAAATCTGATTAGGTCTAATCTCTTTACGTCTAGTCTAGTATGCGATCAAAATCACTCTAATTAAAAACATTTTTAATTATTTATATGACAAGTAACAGAATAAAGACAATGCTCAATAAAAAGGTGAATGAAAAAACGTATGTGACCACCCAAATGTAACACTAAAATCGACAAACTTAATGAACGAATCAAAAAGAATAATTGAAATTCAACTAGTGAGACAGATGCATGGATTAATATGAATCAAGGTAAATAAATATCTTGCTAGTGTGAAAGTCAAGATTACTATTTAGATAATCTTAAGATTTTGAGTACAAAAACAAAATTAAATGAAATACGAAGTACCAAAACCTACAACGTATGTTTTTAATTTACAAAGCTGTTGGGTGTGTATTTCAGCTCAGGTCTCCAACCAAAACAACTCACACACACCACCCAGGATTGTTTAGCCACTCCACCACTCTCCAAGTTTAACCTCTCACACCTCTCTAGCTCCCACACAAGGAAGCTTTACAAGAAGAAGAAAATCAGCCCACACACTCACTGTTTTGGTACCTCACGAAGAAGACCAGGACTGATGGCCAGCACTAGGTTCACTCATACACAATGTATTTGCTGCACTCAATAAAGAAGGGCTGCCCTCTGACTTATAGTCAGTCACAAGGGTCAAAGACAAAATAACAGAGGGGCACCCACCAGACAAAGCAACGGATAGAAACAAAGGGCCATAGGCCAGTTCAATAAGTGAGTAAACAGCTAGGATAGAGACAAGGGGCTAAAGAGGAGTAGAGTTAAACTTAGGGTGCAGGCCTTAACATAATAAGTGGAAGGGAGGCCTTGGTAGGACCAATACCTCCAACATTCTCCACCTTATTGGTCCTAGGTGGTGTAGAGTAACAAATACACGGTTGTGAGGAGACTCATCATCGCTGAACCATTACAAGTACATCATTGCGATCATACAAGTAATAGATGAGAACCAAAGTTCCCTTTCGGACCAAGCTTACCGTGCAAACCCACTTCACGATGGACTGAACTCTACCAATCGGTCCTCGAGTTCAGAACCAAAACCATCACAAAACTATTAACAAGAACAACACATGTTAATAGACCACGCAAGCAAGCATCCGGGAGAAGTTGGGGATTCCAACTAATCCAATAACCACACAAAGCAAGTACAAAGAAAATAAAAGAAACAATATTATTTCTATAACTAGCACAGGCGGAGCTCACATAATCACATGGTATCACATTTTCAAAACACAAAGAAAATAGCATACCAAATATCACAAAGATTTTAATTAAAAGAGAATTAAGCACATTTAAAGCAAACTCAGAGGAAATATAGTCAAACACATTGCACATATCATTTCTCACATGCTTCATAATGTCTCTATCTCTAATAACATGGCAATCACGCAACTCAAGCATATTGCACATAACATTCATATCATGCTCCACCTTAATAGAAATATTATTTTCTTTATTTTCACCATGAAAAACATTTTCATCCACAAATTTGGGTTCGGTTTCAACAAGTAAATCAGAATGAACATCAGGCAAATGCTCCACCTCATTTGGAGCAACATCAGGAGAAACAAGCAGGCAAGGAAATTCATTTTCAACAAAAATGACATTTCTACTCATCAACACATTGAAGCAAGTTTCACTCCTACACCAAAGCCTATAACCTTTCATGCAATCATGATATCCTAAGAAAACATATTCCTTAGTCCTAGGTTCAGATTTATCATTCACACAATTCACATAAGCAAGACAACCAAACACTCTCAAATTTGGCAAGTTAAGTGGTTTGCCCATGAACACAGATTCGGGGCATTTCCCTTCTAAGGGAACAGACGGGGACAGATTAATCAAATCAACAGCATAACAAATAGCTTCCCCCCAGAACTTATTAGAGAGCCCAGATGAAGCTAACATAGCCCTCACCCTCTCTAATAAAGTTCTAACCATCCTCTCAGCAACCCCATCCGGTTGGGGTGTGGAGGGAACAGATTTATGCATAGAAATACCCCAAGTATCACATAAATCTCCAAGCTGATCATCACAGAAATCAAAACTGACAGTGGTCCTTAAAAAATTTATTTTCTTACCGGTTTGTTTTTCAACAAGGGTTTTCCAGTTTTTAAACTTATCAAAAACTTCAGATTTATTTTCAATCAACAAAACCCACACTTTCTTTGAAAAATCATCAATAAACGTCAGAAAATAATTTTTCCCACCATGAGTGGAAACACTATAAGGACCCCACAAGTCAGCATGAATACAATCAAGCACATTAGTACACTTAGGCAGATCAGGAAAACCAACTCTAGACTGTTTTCCTAGCACACAAGGTTGCACACAATTCACAGAATCAAGTAGGGGTTCAGCATGACAAACATACAAGTTGTTTTTCATCTCAGCTTTGAAAACAACTAAACAACCCTTCACAACTTTCATGATTCCCTTTCCCCATTTTCCCTTCAAACCCTCATTTTCAAGAGAAGCACAAGATAGCAAATTACAACACAGCTCAGGAACATGCCTAACATTCTTCAAAGTAAGCACATAACCAGAAGAAAACCTAAGGCATACATCTCCTATTCCTAGCACATTGCATTTCTTCTCATTTGCTAAAAACACAAAGCCATGCTCAATCTCTCTATAGTTTGAAAAAACATTTTTCATAGGGGACATGTGAAAACTACAACCAGAATCTACCACCCAATCTGATTTACACAAGGAATCAGATATCACAGAACTCAAATAGTCATAATCACATAGATTTTTCATCATAAGCACATCACCTAAATCATCTACGCACGTAGTCAAATTAGCATGCTCACTATGCTCATTTTTCTTAGATTTAGGACAGTCTCTTATGAAATGACCAGATTCGTGACAATAATAGCAACGCCTCGAATTAGACCTAGACTTAGATCTATGTCGTCTACTATTATTTTCTCTACCCCTCACATGCATAACTTCCTCGGATTTTCTACCCTCACCCATCTGTTTTAAATCTAATTCCTTACTCTTAAGACCATTAACCACAATGTCAAGAGTCACATTATCTCTACCATACTTAATAGCAGATTTCACATCACTAAAGGAATCAGGAATAGCATTTAAAAGAGCAATGGGAGAATAATCATCTATATGCTTATCACCACACAACTTAATATCTGAAATAAGTTTGGTAAAAACATCTAGATTTTCTTCAATATCTATAGACATATCTAGTCTAAATTTGAAGAACTTTTCAAGTAAAAATATCCGGTTAGGCAAAGAGGTCTCAGTATACAGTTCATTTAATTTATTCCAAAGAACTTTAGCACTTTCTAAAATTCCAACTTTTCTAATCACAGAGTCAGATAAGTTCAAATAAATCACAGAACATGCATTTTCATTCATTTCGGCCCTTTTATCTTCCGTGTCAGAAATTAAATAGGTTTCGCCAACTGCTTTAAAACATTTTTGTTGTATTAAAATACATTTAATTTTTTGCTTCCAAATGCTAAAATCAGATTTTCCATTAAATGGAGCCATACCATACTGATTATAAGCAGACATTTTCACAGAGAAAAACAAGCAACAAAATAAAATGTAAATTTTCGCTAAAAACAATTTAAATATTTATAAGGCTACGAATATACGGAGCAACTAGCACGAACACGCGGGGAGTATTAATGAGCACCAAACTCAAGTTCAAACCCCTTGTTCTTCCGTATAAGCACAAATAAATAATAAATTTTCAGCACAGAACAACACAACAATTTAATCAAATTTTAACAGCAATAATAAACCTAAAACAAGAATTTCTACACAATAAAAGATTAAATCACTACAAAAGCGATAAAAAAGGATTAAAGATAATATACCGGAGCGAAACCCTAGGAGAGGCGTTTCGACCTTACCCACCCAATTTAAAAAATTGGGATTTTTTCAGACCGTTGACTGACTATTGACTGCCTTTGACCAGAGTTGACCGTGCTTTGATTGAGTTGACCGAGCAGTAGATCAATTATTTCTTGTGCTCCAGGTCCAGCCCGAACATTCAAGCCCAGCAAGTCAGCAACAGTCTCCTGCTTCAGCTTCAGCAGACAAACAGCCCGGCCCAGCAGTCCGTAGCTCAACAGCCCAGAATCCAGTCCAACTCTCCTGCTCCAAGGTAAGCATTCGTCCAGCACTCCAGCCCCACTTCTCCTTCAGCAACCTAGCGGACCATCAAAGGAAAAAACAACGCAGCAGACTTTTTCGGCGTTCCTTCTGCGAGCAACAAAGACCGCAGGTGATGGCTTCGATGGACGAGCGATGGGTCCAGCCACGAGCGACCACCGTGACTAGCTCTCAGGCGACGGCGGCTTCAGTGGTGGATTCGACGGCGGATCTCCACGCGACGGCGAGCTAGACCAACAGTGATGGTCCGTGACCTCTTCGAGCAGAGAATCGACGGCGCGAACTCGGACCAACCTCAGCTTATGGACGTCGATTCAGCACCAGCAAGCGGCAAATTAACTCCGGCGATGGGATCCTGGTGCGGACAAATCTCCAGGCGGCGAGTTTCCGGCGAGAACCTCCCTGCGACGGCCTCAGCGACGAACAGATCGGCGAGCTCTCTCCGGCGACGATTTCTCTGCCTCAAGCGTCTGTTCCGGCGTCCATGCGACCAAGCTCAGCAACTCGGTGACAAACGGCTAAGCTTCCAAGCGGCTATGGTGGGGCTTCAACTTCTGGCAATCTGCGAGCAACTGAAGAACGAACCTCCAAACGATGAGATCCAGAAGCTATCAGACCATACGAAGCTTTAATCGACGACAGCGACCTCGAACGACGGCGGCGGACGGCGGCGGACGGCAGAACCCGGCGAAATCGACGGAGAAGACAACCTGGCTCTGATACCACTGTTGGGTGTGTATTTCAGCTCAGGTCTCCAACCAAAACAACTCACACACACCACCCAGGATTGTTTAGCCACTCCACCACTCTCCAAGTTTAACCTCTCACACCTCTCTAGCTCCCACACAAGGAAGCTTTACAAGAAGAAGAAAATCAGCCCACACACTCACTGTTTTGGTACCTCACGAAGAAGACCAGGACTGATGGCCAGCACTAGGTTCACTCATACACAATGTATTTGCTGCACTCAATAAAGAAGGGCTGCCCTCTGACTTATAGTCAGTCACAAGGGTCAAAGACAAAATAACAGAGGGGCACCCACCAGACAAAGCAACGGATAGAAACAAAGGGCCATAGGCCAGTTCAATAAGTGAGTAAACAGCTAGGATAGAGACAAGGGGCTAAAGAGGAGTAGAGTTAAACTTAGGGTGCAGGCCTTAACATAATAAGTGGAAGGGAGGCCTTGGTAGGACCAATACCTCCAACAAAAGCAATGCAAGGAATTCGGCACTTTGGTCAGTTGGTGCGCTAGGTGTTTCGAGTTGAGTTTGGCGAGCTGACTTCAAATTCGAAAGAGGACAAAATTGTCCAACGAAGGGGGAAAAGTGGGCGCGCCTAGTAAAGGTTGGGGTGCGCCAAGGAGCCCCGATTGTTAAATAACGAATCTAGCTACTAGATGTACATCTGGTAAAAAAAAGATGTACATATTATAGAAAGGAGTTTATGTTATATTCGAATGAGTATAACGATTAAAAAATGAGCATAACAATTGAATACTTGAACACATTGGAGAATTCAAATGAGTTTTTGACTTTTTTTATGCTCATTTTGTAAGTTTTGTATGATCATCATATCGGGTATTGGTCGTATGCTCATTTTATAATGTTAAATCAATACACATTTTCAAAAGTACCATATTACATTAGATTCACGTGAGAATTGATTGTAGATACGGGATCACAAACCATGATACTTAGTTGAATTTTTCTAATTACTCAATCGATACTGATGTTATGCTCATTTTTAAAATGTCATATCAATTTATATTTCAAAAGTATCATATTTCATTAAATTCACATATTGAACTTCATAGAAATTGATTGTAGATATAATTTAATAAGTTTCTATAAAAGAAAGTGAATTAAAAGATATGAAGCAGAGATTACGATGTTCAATATTAGACTGCTAATACTCAATATAATAGGTCTAGTGCTAATTAAAAGTTCATTAATGCTCATTTAACAGAAAGCGTTACTTTCATCTCAATATAAGAGGTTTGTTGCTCAATGAAAATGTTGTGACGTCCAACTAACAAATCATATGATTTTCATATTTATGCTCATTTTGTAAGTTACATATGCTCAATTGATACTCATGTTATGCTCAGTTTTAAAATGTCATAACAATGCATATTTCGAAAGTACCATATTACATTAGATTGATAGATTCACATATTGAAATTCATAGGAATTGATTACTGATATAATTTAATGAGTTTTTATAAAAGAAAAAATAAGAAAAAGAAAGTGAATTACAATATATGAAATTGATATCACATTACTCATTATTCGACTCTAAATGCTCAATAGAATACGCCGATGCTCAGTAAACGTGTGTTAATGCTCATCTATCGAAAATCACGATTTTCACTGATATTACAAAAATGCCACCGTTTTTTAGTTTTGATATCAGCTTTCTTGTACTAACATGGTGCTCATTATTGGACGCTTAATACTCATTAAAATTGGACCATTACTCATTAACAGTACACTAATACTCATTTAGCAGAAACCGCGACTTTTACATTAATTGCAAAAATGCCACCGGATTATTTTTCTATTTTTCTCTTAGGCTTGTTCGTTACTGGGCTGGCTGTACGGTGCTCACCGTAGAGCCGGTGGTACCATATACAAACTCGGTTTGATGGCCCTCTCAAGTCTCAACTGAACAAGATCTCTTTTTTATTCAACTAGACGAATTACCCGTGCGATGCACGGGATACGAATATCTAGAGTAGAATAACAATTTGTTTTTATTTATCTTTTATTACAATGATATATACATATATAATCTGTAATTTTGTTATTTATAAAAAGTTGGAAGGTTTTATAGATTGCAACTTTGATTATATAATAGCAGTTTGTAGTAAAAGGAAAATGTAGATCATACGGCAGTACATTTTATTAAATAGGAAAATAAAGTTATTGCAAATGTATATCTATTACTCACTTGATATCTATTACCAATTTTATGTGACCTACAGTTTGTAGTACATTCCTATGTATATCTATTATATACATAGTACATTTTATTACCGTACAAATGTATATCTATTACTCAGTTGATACTGCCGCATAAATTGGTCACTTGGAGTAAAAAGTTATTGCAAATTTACTAATTTATATAATTACATAAATTTAAAAATAAAAAATGACAAAAAAATAAATTTATTAAACTATCAGGAGTAAGCATCATTACTTTGGAGAATTAATTACAACTTAAATTTAATACTTCGGATTACTATTTATTTTATTTATTTCATGATTAACTCTTTTGAAGATTATATTACCATTAGTTACTTTCTTTTATCGTCACACACTTTTGGGTTGAATTTAAGTGAAGAGCAGTGAGAAATTATACGGCAGTGCTCTATTTATGGCTGATATCTTTCTTACATGTTAAGATAATTTATACTGACTCAAAATTCTATTTATGTCGTAGCTTTATACTGGCTCAAAGCTAATTATCAAAAGCAATTTTATATATGTTAAGGTAATAAAATAGTATCCTTAAATTAATTAATACTCCGTAAATGCCAATTACATGTGACATTTGAAAGCCAATTAATAAGCTTTTAAGTGGGCAATTTACTTTATATTTAACCTTACTTTAATTTAGCAAATACTATGAACTGAAAGTTTGTAATCACTTTGCTATGTCAGAGAATAATTAATTTGTTACAAATTAAAATGTGAACTTTATTCCCTTATGTCATTGGGATTATAATATATATTGTATTTTCATTGATTGATATTATTACTGTTATTATCATTTCACTATAAAATTGTAGATTCCGTTTTACAAATATTGGTTACAAATATTGGAGTAAAAAGTTATTGCAAATTTACTAATTTATATTATTACATAAATTAAAAAATAAAAAATGACAAAAAATAAATTTATTAAACTATCAGAAGTAAGGATCATTACTTTAGAGTATTAATTAGAAATTAAATTTAATACCTCGGATTACTATTTATTTTATTTATTTCATGATTAACTCTTTTGAAGGTTATATTACCATTAGTTACTTTCTTTTATTGACAGTGCTCTATTTATGGCTGGTATCTTTCTTACATGTTAAGATAATTTATACTGACTTAAAATTCTATTTATGTCATAGCTTTATACTGGCTCAAAGCTAATTATCAAAAGCAATTTTATTTATGTTATGATAAATAAAATAGTATCCTTAAATTAATTAATACTCCGTAAATGCCAATTACATGTGACATTTGAAAGCCAATTAATAAGCATTTAGTGGGCAATTAAAGTTTACTGCATATATACAGCATTTTAGTTACGTATAGGAGAGTATATTTTGGGAGGCACTCAAATTTCCAATTATGCCCCTTGTTTGGGCGGCAATTTTGCCTCCAAAAGTTGTGACATGACTGTTACTTTATATTATATATAAAGATTATAGGTTTGCACATGTGACATGTATAACATTTTTTCAATACATTTTATTCGTGTTTTGTTGACTATCGAGTTTTGTTGATGACTAACCGTACTGGAACAAGTGAAAGAACTATATCCTACGAAATATCTAGTTCTATGACTAACCATGCAGGGACCAGGACTAGAACCACTCTTAGTTCTGATCGAGGCCTTTATGTCCTCGTAATCAGACTATGATGAATGTTATTTATGTAGCGTTATTTGAATTCTATTCTTATATATGGAATGAAATCTGTGGTAACCGCTACTCCTTGTTTAGAAAGTCATCCTTTGAAAAATGATCTAAATGGAAAGTCCTTAATGATTAAACCCACTTTGAAAAGGAAATATTTTAGAGCTGCTTAATTACTTTAATGATTTATGATCGTAGCATGCTTTGTATGGAAATATCTTTTGCATGGAAAGTTGCCTTCTACGAGTAGACCGTAAGCTAATAAACTTTCTCATTTTAATAAGTATCTTTTGGGATGTTGACTTCTCTGAAAGATCCGTTTGCATGTCTACTTATGATGAGTGCATAAAATATCTTTGAAGCAATTATTGTTGAGAAAATAAATCTCTACGCACAAAGAAAGAATCGAAGATAGAAAGCTTTCCCAAGGGCAGGAATCATTTTACACAAGGAAGATACAATGGACACATCTGGAGTAACCTATATATTCATGAAAGCAAAATGAAAGATGCGTGCTTAACTGAGTGAATATCAAGGAGAATTATTCAAGAGGAAATACTACGACCAAGACGACTGAAACTGCTCATACAGAGTTCTAGATAGAGTTTTTGTATTCCCTTTTCATTTTGTATTTGGGGTATTGAGGCTTAGCTAGTGTAGTTGCCCCGGGTTGGGATAAGTGTGTGTGAGAGCTTTGTGATAAAGCTGAGAGGCACTCTACCCGAAAGGTAGAGATGCATAACTCTTCCTAGAGAGGATAGAGTTGGGGAAGCTCAAGGGTAGATTAGGAGAATCACTTTTGTAATCCTTTCAAGGCTTGATTAGTGAAGTTGTTTAAAATTCCTCTGAGGGAGGTCGAAGTTTTTTAATCCCTTTGAGCCAAGGGATTTTTCCTCGTTAAATCCTTGTGCACTTTACTATTCTGCAATTCTCTTCACCCCACACTAGAACTTGGCGAAAAACTATCACGGTTCCACACACATAATTCACCCCTCTTGTGTTGCTAACCGTTTTCATCATGTTTCTTTGAATTCAATTATTGGAGCACAACATCGATAACTTTATTGCTTCCACTTGTATCTTGATCGACAAAATTGAATACTTTGAAGTATTATTAATGTAAACAAATTAAGGCAAAAAAACAAACAAACAAATTAAGGCAAATTAAGGCCTTAAGGGGTACGTGTGTATTGTATTAGGAATTAGTGGCAAATTAAGTTCATGAATTTTAATTGTTTAGGTGTATTTAATGTGGACTTTTAGAAGTATACAAAAGTTTGAGTACTCAATATAGACTTTTAAAAGTCTATAAAAAGTCATAGACATATTCAAATTTCCGTTCATTCTTATTGACTTCTAAAATCACGGATTGTCATTGACATTTAACTCATTTTTAGTACATTAATTCTTTGTAATTGTCTCTTCTCTTCACCAAAGATTTCAGTGGACTTTTATAGTTATCTTCCACTTGTCACAAGTACACATAGACCTGATTGCATATTTGACTAATTATTTACCCGAGATATAAACCAGCCAACAAGTCCTGGACTACTACCAGTCGGGACGGGAGATGGGTACCAGGATGGTCTCAGTATGCAAGATTTGAACATTAAATTTTAATTTTTTCAATCATTTTACGATAAGTAAAATTGAACAAGGAGATTCTACATTAAAATTGATACACAAAATAAATTTATCCTTTTAATTTTATAAAAACAATAAAAAGTGATATTTTGAGGTGTTTAATTTGGTTAAGAGCCCATCAGCTAATTTTTGGCTAATTTGACCAATAATGGCCTTTTGACCAGATCAATCAGTCAAAGTGAGTGTTTGGTTAAATAGCTTATTTATTTGGCTTTTTATCCCAAACAGCCAAAATATGACTAATTCCAAAATGCTATAAAATGTGGCGTAATGCTATAAAATGTGGCCTTTAGGTATGGCTTTGTCCTAT